CAACTGATGCTGTTGATATGTTGTAGACATGGCAGAGCTTCAAAACGAAATTATTTCCAAACGCTTTTAACAGCATTTTTAAACAGAATTTAATTAAAAAAATAAAATTTCATTCAACACCGGCCTCTCCACCTTCTTTGATATATCCCTATTTCTCATATCTGAAGGAAATAGGGGGAAGGTGCCAAAAAAGATTCCTTTTACCTCCCTTCAAATCAAGAGAAGGCCTGATGACTACATACAAAGAATTTGGGTTTCAGGCACACAGTTAACTTGCCTCAACACACAGGCAAATAATTTGCTACAGATTGAAACATTGCTCTATTTAAATCAACTTCCTGCCTATTAATAGCCGTGAAACACTAGAACATATTACTGTACCAGTAAAGCCTTAGGCCCGCTCAGATCTTTTTAAAGTGAGGCAACACACAAATACGTGCATAGTCACATACATACCTAACACTGCATGGCACAATCTCCTTTAAGAATTCAAAGAGCAAAATCAACAGTCTGAATTGATTTGGAACTAGAAATAAGGACCAAGTGAATTTCTAATAGCCCTCCACATGCCAAAGTTCCCAACGTTTACTTGTTTATATCCATACTTCCCTTCACTGCCTGTGTGCTAATCATAGCAACAGTACTTCCTGGAGTCCTTTATTTACATGGGAATTTCCTGCTGACCTCTGGCATCTCCCTGCTCCTGCTCCACCTCCACCTATACAAACACACACAGACACATGTACAAATGGCTGCAAACACTTTGGGATTTGCAGTGCAAAGGAAATGAGCATCCCATAACTTCCTCCCTCCCTCCCACCTCCTTCTTCCTCTCTCCCTCTCTCATGTTGTGTGATCCATTCATCATTCTGTATAATTAGGCAAATAAAAAGATACCTTTGTTTTGACTTGATTTGCTGTTCTTTTCAGGTTCCTTATGTGCATAGATACAAGAAAAAAACATGGTACCTTTGTGCAGCATGTGATTCATCAGGAAATTCCTTCTGCCACGATGTGTGGGTGGGGAGAACGTTTGGTGATGTGATACAGATGCACAGGCTGCCCTTCGCCAGCAATGCAGATGTGTTTTATATGCACATGCCCAGATGGTGACCCCTCTGGCATTATTAATGTGTCCCAGCTGCCAGGCCTCCTCTCGCATGCATACACCTCGATTTCACATATTTCGTGTGTTTATTTATGAGGCACCAAATTCCTACATTTCATATGTGGCAGTTGCTATTAAAAATGAGAAGTTTTAACTGCTCTGGAAATTGATAACCTTTTAAATTGATATGAAATGTGGCCCTCATTTCAAAATGACTCCTCATAGAATTAATTGAATTCATAATGCAAATTTCTGACCTTTCCCCTTACATGTTGAGAAAATATGGCATTGGGTATACACTTAGTTAAGAAATCAAATATTTTCATACCTGATATGTTATAATGTTCTTTTGCTTTCCCTTTGTTTCTGACCTCTAAGGCCTATTTTTAAGAAGTGGGATGTCTGTACATTTGACATTGCTATGCACTGCTAATTAAACCCAGGCATCAAGTAAGAGAAATTTGGGATCATCTAGAAATGGGTTGTACTTTTATAGATCCACAATGAGACCTAGTATTATAAAAATATAATCCAATCATTGCTCCAAAATATTATAGATTGTAATAACTCCATGGATTTGAGGAAATGGATTAGTCTTGTCAATTTTAGCTTATGATCTAAAGTATAAAAATAGGAGCATGGCAGTTTTGCTGAATTAAAATGAACTGACTCTTACTATTACAAAAAATTTCAGTATTTTTATGGGGAAATGTAAAGATGAATCAAATTGTTCAAACAGAAAGATGAAAAATGCAAAAGATCGATGATCAGGTTTTGCAAGATGAAGTTCATGTCTGTTTCCTTTTTTTTTTTTCATGTTTATTTATTTACTTTGAGAGAAAGCATGTGTGTGCACAAGCAGGGAAGGGGCAGAGAGAGAGAGGGAAAGAGAGGATCTGAAGCAGGCCCAATGATGTCAACACAGAGCCTGACGTGGGGCTTGATCCCACGAACTGTGAGATCATGACCTGAGCCCATTTCAAGAGTCAGGTGCTCAACCGACTGAGCCACCCAGGTGCCCTTTTTGTTTCCTTTTTTAATATCAGAGATAATGAACTAAAAAAGTCAGAAAACATATCACTTATCATAGATTGCTATCTCCAAAATCAGCTATGGGAAATAAATGACCAAAATTCTGGTGTGATTTTCTTTTAAGGGGCTGTACACCTTTATTAGCAATAGCAGAGGGTCAGAGTTGCTAATGCTGAGTGCTAAAGTAGACACAAATGGAGTCTTAACTACCTACTATGTGGTCTCTGGTCCTCAGGAACAGTATTCTACTTCCTTAAGTAAAGCTGTTTGTCCTGTTTGGATATATATTTATCTTGATTTCATAAATAAAGGTGCTAACTCACATATTAGCTATAACCACACTCACAAGGTAGGATGGAAAATTAAAGCAATTAAAAGCATACCCTTGAGATAACGTGGGTTCAGTTCCAGACCACCACAATAAAGCAAGTATCACAATAAAGAGAGTCGAATGAACTTTTTGGTGTTCCAGTGCAAATCACAGTTACATTCACAGTATACAGTAGTCTATTAAGTGTGTAATCACCTCATGTCTAAAAAACAATGTACTTACCTTAATTAGAAAATATTGCTAAAAAAAATACTAACCATCACCTGAGCTTTCAGTGAATTGCAATCACGGATCACAGATCACTGTAGCAAATATAATAATAATGAAAAGGCTTGAAATATTGCCAGGATTACCAAAATATGACACAGAGACACAAAGTGAGCAAATGCTGTTGGAAAAATGTCGTGATGGATGCGCTGGACACAGGTTGCCACAGACGTTCAATTTGTAAAAACATGGTATCTGCGAAGCTCAATGAATCAAGGCACGTTTGTATCTGACTAATTTAGGCAAGAGTAAAGAATACTCTTCCCTGACTCTGTGCTGACAGCATGGAGCTTGCCTGGGATTCTCTCTCCCTATCTCTCTGCCCCTCCCCCACTGCGCACCCATACACTCTCTTCCTCAAAATTAAATAAGCTTAAAAAAAAAAAAATACTATTCCTTGAAAGTACTGCCAGGAATTTGAAAACAAAAAAGGGAGGTTATAGGGTATTGTTCCTCCCACACTCTCCAGACAATCACCTTAGATTGGCTCCATGTGTATTTTTGTTCAAATGCATGTTTTATAACAACTCTAGTGTTCTCCCAAAGATTTAGAGCAACTGTCAGAAGACTTCATATCAGTTCATTTATGGGGATGAAGCAATAAAAAAAATGAAAAACCTTGGAAATGTCTTCTTATTTGATGTGGAAAGAGGAACGGCTATGGCCTTGTCTTTTTCATGCACATCTTGAAGTCTTATCAAATAATTTTGGTTATGACCTTAAGGCTATTATGACCAAGACCTTATTAAAGGACCCAAAATTATATCCATAGGCTTTTGTTCCTCAGCTGCCCCCTTTTATCACAAAGATGAAGTGGAAGGAAGGAAGGAAGGAAGGAAGGAAGGAAGGAAGGAAGGAAGGAAGGAAGGAAGGAAGGAAGGAAGGAAAGAAAGAAAGAAAGAAAGAAAGAAAGAAAGAAAGAAAGAAAAGGAAGGAAAGAAAGAAAAGAAAGAAGAGAAAGAAAAGAAAGAAAGATGAAGGAAGGAAGGAAGGAAAAGAAAGAAAGAAAGAAAGAAAGAAAGAAAGAAAGAAAGAAAGAAAAAGGCAAATCAATAACATCAGTCTTTGTTATCCTCAGATGAAAAATACACGAAATACATGCCCTAACAACTGCTTCCACACCACTGGCAGACATAACTAAGCAATCATGATGCTCTCTCCACTACCCCAGGACCCAGGCTCAGAATCCTCCTCAACAGAGCATTGCCAGGAGCCACTGCCAATTCAAGTCCACACCTGAGACAAAACCTCTTTGCCATCCCTCTCTTACTTTGGTGCTGAGCAAGTAATAGGGGGTTAGTCTGCATGTGCTAAAACATAAGACCCAGAGGTTATTGCTGGCTGTTTTTTCACAAGAGAGGTAATAGCTGGCATTAAGCCTGGTCTAAAGAATGGGAGCATCACTATGGTAACCATATCAAGTTGTTGACTCACAACCCATCAGCTCTGTCAACCCTGCTTCCTGCCACATGAGAGTAGGGCCAGCCGACTTAAAGAACCCTCTGAAGGTGACTTGGACTCAGGTCAGTGGTACAGGCCACGAAGGAGTTACACACAGATGAATAGGGAAGAGTTTGATCCCCACCTTGGCTTGCCTGGAAAAGGCAAAACAAAAGCAAAGGAAAGACAAGAAGCAAAAGGTGGGCTGCAAATCCAATAGTCAAGGGTGAGGGGGCCCCATAGTTGGGACTCCAAGGTTCACCCTGCAGAGTGCACTGGGAAGCAGGCAGAAGAGGTCCCAGAAGCTGCTGTGATGCCACTTCCTCCCTTTGATGTCACCATGTATTTGCACACGTGTACATGATAGGAACAACAGCCCCTTGGCTCCATATATTACAGTACTGTTTCCAGAGCACTTTCCCATCCGTGGTCTCATTTGATCCCCACCTCAGCACAAGCAAGAAGGGCAGGCATTGTTATCCCTAATTGTACAACAAAAGTGAGGCTCACTTGTCCAAAACCACACAGCTTTTGAAGCCCAAAGTTGCTTTCATCTGAACTATCCCAGAGAAAAGAGGTAAAAGAAAAATGAATGTTTTGGATGATTTCCCATTTGAATTTTCAGACCACCATACTAATTCCTTCCAAAACTTAGCATGTATAGAAGAGCTTACAGCTGGATGGTGACCCAGTTGCATGTTATAGACCAGATGGTGACAGTGGTTTCCCCCAGAGTAGCTTCTGAATCATTTAATAGTGGACATGATATTCTGGGCCCTCAATCATTGAAAGAGATTTTTTTCTGTTCATTTTTTCTGACAGCTGGTGACACTGTTGCAGATGTGGGTTGTCCCTCTGTATTTCACGATAAAACTTTACTGGTGGCGGTTTCTGTCTATGTGGGGAATGTTCTCAGTTATTACCAGTTACGTCCTCTTCAGAGCTACCCGAAAACCCCTCTCAGGGAGAACACCAAGGTATGTATCCCACTCGTTCCTTTCCTGACACCCTCTTTATTATAAACATTAACAAGTATACTTTAATTCCATTTTCCCGGATGGGGGAGGGGGCATCACACTTTTTTTTGCCCTTCAGTAGCAAAACTATTTGGAGATTAGCTATACCACTGTTTATGCTCATTGTTTAATGGTGATTTGGACATACCTGTAAAATCTATTACTTCAGATACTAATGACAGCCAGAAGAAAGAGAAGTCAAACTATGGTTTAAACTTTCTAGAACAAAGGGGCGCCTGGGTGGCTCCATCCGTTAAACATCCAACTTAAGCGTCCAACTTCGGCGCAGGTCACGATCTGTCAGTCTGTGAGTTCAAACCCCGTGTGGGGCTCTGTGCTGATAGTTCAGAGCCTGGAGCCTGCTTCGGATTCTGTGTCTCCCCCTCTCTCTGCCCCTTCCCCTGTCACACTCTGTCTCTCTTTCTCTTCCTCGAAACTAAATAAACATTAAAAAAACTTTTTTAACTTTCTAGAACACTATTTGCATATTTATTTTTAGCTCAGCATTTTGTATGATTCCATCATAAGTTGTGTCACACACATTTTGTAATAGAGCAAGAGTTAGATGTTTGTATTTCTAACAACTATATATGTATTTTATTTCGGGTAAATCATAAGTAATGGCCAACTTCTCTCATAACAAATGAGGCTTTAATATTCCAATGCTTATCTTAACTACCATTGCCAACCTCTTGGCATTTCTATAATTCCATTATATCGTCCACAAATCATTCCAAAGTGCTTATAATCTCATAATGTGCCCACAAATTTGCTTTCGCTCTCCTTGTTCTGCAGATAAGATCTGAATCTAAATCTAGATAAAACTGAAATGGGATAGAGAGAAAATGTGTAAGGCATTACATGGCAATAAGACAATGTCACATTTTGATCTTGGTTGGAGAACAAATCATAAGCTCCTGTGAAATGTTTTTAGGATTATTTAGCTATTCAGATGTTTGTTTTTAATCCTCAAAAAAAGTGGGAGAGACGGATATCAACTTTTCCTACTCTGGAGAAGAAAAAATATTCAGTGAGAAAAGTCAAATAAATCAATGTAATGATAAAGATTGATATTCAAGGGGAGCCTGGCTGGCTCAGTTGGAAGAGCATGCAGTTAGTGATCTCAGGGCCATGAGTTCAAGCCCCATATTGGGTATAGAGTTTACTATAAATAAATAAATAAATAAATAAATAAATAAATAAATAAATAAATAAATGAAATTTAAAAATTTATATTCAAATACATGAATTCTGGTTAATATTTTAATTTAATCCCATTTGGGAAGAGCTCTGAGGTGGTGGTAGGAGACCTGAACTGGCCGATTTGGGGCTTTAGACAGCCTTTGTATGGCCTGGTTTACCCATCTGTATATGGTACCTTTTCTCCTTCTTAAAAAATATTGGAAGTTATTTAAAACTTGTGAAAGTGATCCAAATTTTGGATGAGCCAAAATGCACTTGCTTTCATTCCCTGGATATAATCTATATTGTATTTCAGAGAGAACAGTTCACTTCTCCACTGTAGAATGAATTACCCCAGTTAAACGCAGTATTTCTGTGCACATGAGCGCATTCAATGCAGAGGAACTTCATGACAAGAAATAGCCAAATGCTCCCTCATTACTCTCCATGGCTCATGTGTCTCAGATGGCGGGGCCCCTGTCCTCTGTTCCTCATGCCCACAGGGCATACAGTTCAGCTTCTCCTGCCTGCACAGCCCTGACCCCAGCATAGCCTGACAGACAACACGTTCCACTAACATTTAAAAAAAGACCTACAGCCACCATTTGAAGAGACAACAATAGGAGAGGCTAATTAGGACCCCATTTCTTCTAGAAAAGCAGTCTGGATAAAGAAGCTCCTGTTGATGAGTGGTAGTAGGCCCTAACGATCCTTATGGATCTTTGATCATATCATAGGTAAGTCACTTCTTAGCTATTTTCCATTAGGAAACAGGATTTCATTACTGGCTAGTTAAGCTGGTCAGATCTAACGGGTATGGTGCAAAAGCAAACCCAAGAGGAGTGGTCTCTCACACCAATGCAGTTTTTTTTTTTTTTTTTTAACATTTATTTATTTTTTGAGACAGAGAGAGACAGAGCATGAATGGGCAGAGAGAGAGGGAGACACAGAATCTGAAACAGGCTCCAGGCTCTGAGCTGTCAGCACAGAGCCTGCCTCAGGGCTCGAACTCACAGACCGGGAGATCATGACCTGAGCTGAATTTGGACACTCAACCTTGGACTGAGCCACCCAGGCACCTCTACCAACGCAGTTTAAAAACCAGCTGTTCCTCCCGCAGAGTATACCAAGCCCTTGCTGTGGGGCAGAGTAACAGAGAAGGGGGGAGTAACAGAAGGGGGCAGAGTAACAGAGAACTCTCTATGGCAGTAGGGTTCAGGCTCAAAAACCCTGAAAGAGTTCAGGCTCAAAAACCGCCACAAAGAGCTGGGCTTGGTCACATCAACTCCAGGCCGAGCTTTCCTTTTGGAGGCTGCTCTGAAGCACAAACACAATTCCTAACCTGGTTTCTCTGCCTTCCAGTGTGATCTAAGTAACGAGGGAGTTCTGGACTCCAGTGCTCTAGAAACTTGTACTCCCCGTAAGCAGGGGGATTTGGGGGTGGGGGATTTGGAAAATCTAACATACCTGTAATAATTATATGCATATTGAGCATTAAATGTGTCAGATCTTTTGAACATTAACACATGATCTCACATAATCTTCAGAACTACCTTAGGAGCTAGTGCTATCCCCCCACTCTATGAATGAGGCAATCATAGGAGGAAGTCCTAAGTAGGGTGGCCAGAGTCCCACAGGCAGTAACGGGAAGGGGGAGCCCAGAATCATACCAATACCAGACAGAGTGTGAACCACCCGCCCGCCTGGCTCCCAACAGCAGGTTTTGCCTTAATGACACACAGAAGGCCTGCAGTTAAAAAGTTGAAACACCTGTGATGCTGGCACAACCTTGCGAGGGGACCCTGTAGGGGCAGAGCAGGTAGGGAAGTCCAGGACGTGTGGAGTTCCCGAAGCCGACTCTGGTGCTGGCGGGTGCTGTGGGGGAGAAGGGGAGGCCCTCTCGGACCTGGCCCCCCACCCATGCTCACCTCTTGGAGCAAAGTAAACTTCCGCCTCCATCTGGCTGCACCGAGCAGTGATCCGAACTGCCTTCCCAGGAACTGGCAACCTAGAAGAACCGGCAGGCTCCAGAGTCACTGTGGCAGAGAGATCCCCAAAGCCCCGCCTGCCCTCCTTTAGAGGTGACTTAGGCTCAGAGCGACCTGACCCACCACGTGCCGTCCGTGCGGAGTTTCTGGACCCGCCGAACTCCCCACTGCCGATCCCTCCCCCATGGGGCGGGACTACACCTGCAGGAGGAGGCGTGGTACCACAAAACCCTGGTACCAAGTGCCCTGAAGTGGGGAAGCTTTCCACCGTAAAATGATGTAATGACAACTCGTTTCTCAAGCCAGCCCACAAACCCCATTCACAGCATCATGTTTCAGAAGGTCCCTCCTTTTTTTTTTTTTTTTTTTTTTTTTTTTTTTTTTCTCTCTCTTTTGTTTTTCTTCATGCCCAGCACGGAGCTCAAGCCAGCTTGAATTCAAGACCCTGGGATTAAGACCTGAGCTGAGATCAAGAGTCCAGTCGATGTTTAACCGACTGAGCCCCACCCAGGCACCCCTCAGCAGGCCCCTTCTGACTGGAATTCAATGAAGCAGGGCATCTTTTAAAATAACATTGAAACATTAAATCAGTAAAAACAGAAAAGAAGCATTTGGTGCAATAAAGGCGGGAACCTGGCTCCCGAAAAGTGTGGAGGGAGAGCTGAGAGGCCGGCCTGCCTCTTGCCCTCCAGCTCCCTTGGAAGCAACAGTCCAGCCACCGCCTTCTTTTCTCTGGGCACAAGGACAGTCCCCCAGCTGCTCCTTCTCCTCCATCACTTCTCGTTCCACCGGCCAGAACCTTGTCCTGTGGCACCACGAATGCATCTTCCCACATCCTCCCAGACATGAAGCAGTCGCCCTTTCTGTAGGTTTTCAAAGGGCTTTTACTGCCAGGGATAAGGGAAACAAGCAGGGTAAGGAGGTCCCTTCTAAATCATCTACACCTGTGCCCTCAATCCCCATCTCCCATTTCTCTACTCTGACCCTGTGGGAAGAAGGAAAGGTGCTAAGAGTGGTCACTGTATGTGCTGGGATACACAAAGAACCCACCCACATAGCAGGAGAAAACCAGCCCGTGGCACACTTGTGATTCCATCCCAGGGCTAGGGGAGGGGCTCTGTGAGTGGAGAGGAGTTGGGGTGAGGCTGAGCCTGATAATGAGGACCTCTGTCCTTGGGCTGGGGGGTGGAGAGGCAGCGGTAGCAGGCAACACTCCTGGGGGAGGAGGTTCCCCCCTGCCCCACAGCCTTGACTTCTCTGCTCATCTTTTTGCTTACTCTAAGCTACTCCTGCCAAAACCACTCTAAGCTAACCCTAGGGGAGGCAGGGTTCCAGGTGGAGAAACCATCTCTGAACACCACTCTAACATGAGGAACATAGACAAACTGCAATGAATATATATATGCACGTGCATACTATTTAGTTTGTTGTTATTATATTAAAACCATAGATTATTATTCAGTTTAGCTGATATAATCTACTTATGTTCTTTATATTACATAATAAATAGAATTCTAGAAATTAAAAACCGACTTATAACAATGTTTGAAAAAGACAAAATATCATGTTCTGTATTTCTCCCCATTTTACATCCACAGATTGGTCTACAAATGGTTTCTTCTAATCTACAAACTCAGCTATGCATTTGGTGTTGTGGGTTATTTGGCCATCATGTTTACAATGTGTGGATTCAATTTATTTTTCAAGTAAGTATCTCCAATTAAGACATTAATATCTCCAAGCACTTGCTTGCAATATTCACCTGGTCAAGTTCTCTGTATCAGGGATCATTTGGCCCTACAATGTTCCATACACACATTGTTTATAGTAGATGTCATTGGTGGAAACCACTAGAAAAGTATAAGAGGAAACCCTACAGAATAAAAAGTTTTCAAAAAATTATAAGCTTTAAAGAAAATCTGTACTTGAGGGGCGCCTGGGTGGCTCAGTTGGCTAAGCGTCTGACTTTGATTCAGGTCATGATCTCGAGGCTCGTGGGTTTGAGCCCCACGTCAGGGTCTCTGTTGTCAGTGCAAAGCCAGCTTCAGTTCCTGTCTCCCTCTGTCTGCCCCTCCCCAGCTCATGCTTTCTCTGTGTCTCAAAAATAATAAATAAAAACATCAAAAAACTTTAAAAAAAAAATCTGTACCTGATAGGCAAATTTTGAACATCACCATTAAAAGCAGGCCTACATTTGCGGTAGAGTAATTCTTATAGAACTACAAATTTCCCTCCATAAAATTCTGAAGTGTCATTTCCTTGTATATATCTTCTTCCTTCAAAACCTCTGGAACTATGCTGTCCAGTGCAGTATACGATAGGTCATGTCACTATGAGCATCTAAACTATGAAATAAAATGTTCTAGAACTATAAGATACAAACTGGATTTCAAAGTTTGAAAAATACTGTTAAAAAAATAAAAAGAGAAAATAATTTTTATATCGACCACATGTTGAAATACAGTGTTTGGGATGTATTGGTGAAATTATTTCATGGGTTGTTTTTAATGTGACTACTAGGACATTTTTCAATCTGTATTTCTATATTGCCGGGGACAGCACTGCTCTAGGATTTTGTTTCTGGTACCTATGAAGTCCCTTTTGCTGGGGACAGTCAGAAAAGGACAAAACTAAGTGCTTAGAACTTGAATGAGAGGTAAGGAAATGACAGAACAAGAAAGTCTTGTGAGAAATCAAGGAAATCAGGATAATTATAACTCAGAACTGAGCTCCTTGAAAAAATGGTTGCTGAGATGTGCTGTGGACGAGGTTCTCATGGGCAGAGCCAAGGCTGTGTAATCAACCTGTGGCCTGGAAAGGAAATTTAAGACATACCACAAGGCTGTGGAAAGCAGCTCAAATAAAAATTCCCCAGAATATCTCTCACATTGAAGTTCCTCTGGGACCTTACCAGAAATCAAAAGGCAAACAACTCATAAAATAGGTCAGGCAATTGGATGGAGTGTCAGCTCTGAAAGGAAGGACTCTTCCTATGGCAACGTAGCAATCTGATTTTATAAGCATTTCATGAAACTTTCACAGCAGGAGCTCTTACCATTTTCTAGCAGGAAAGGGATAGAAAGTAACTGTACAGATCTATGATTAATATATTATTCTGTGTATAGAAAGACACTGATTTCTTTTGTTTTTCAGCATATTGTCCATATAACTTTATTTTAGTGAATGTAAAAATATTCATAAGGAATTTTATGAAATCACTGAGCCTACAGTTGTCCCAAGACTACTTTCCATAAGATATAAGTTCCTTAACCATGACCTCTCCTACAACGAGGCATAGCAAGAACTTAACCCTTCAGGCTGGGAAGGAACTAGTCCTCCCCTGAACATGGGGAGAAGATCATCTTCATTCCTCCCCACTATCTCAATTCTCAAATATACCCAGGCAAATCTTGAAAGGATAAAGCCACCACTTGCGTTGGAATTCCCAGTTCCCATCACAAAAAGAGCTGTACCCTCTAAGTCTACAAACTCTCTGCCTTGACCATTTCCTCCTCAAATTCACAGAGCACGAAACAACTAGAAAAAGTTTCCAGGACCGACCTACCAGCTCTCCTCCACTCCTCCCTCCCTTTCTGACTCAGTCAGATCTACCCAGGCCCAGGGCTAATATTTGAAGCTGTTGAGAGATATAACAAACCATATGTGCAATGATTAAGACGCAGAAATTAAATTAGGGGCTAATTACTTTTTAAAGAAGTGTTTCTCTTTAAAATGGGATGCGGGGGAATCCTATTATATTTGAAATATGATGCAACTTGCAAAATATTTTTTTTCTGATTGACACGTAGTCACTATGGCATAGTAGCAAAGGGCCTCAAAATTGAAGTGTGATCCCTGGTTTTGTTTTGTACCAATCGTCATGTTAAGCAAATCATTTTTTCTAAATCTCCATTTTTTCAAATGCAAATGAGGTAGCTAATCATATCCACCTCAAATATTTGTTAGGCAAGTGAAGTATTTGAAAGTATTCTGTAAAATCTAAGCTTGATAGCAGGGATTCTCAACCTGAGAAGTTTCTAAAAAGCACTGCTGTGCAGACCCCACCCCAGGCCATGTACATCACAGCTCCAGAGCAGCAGAGTCTTAAATCTCCCCAGGTGATTCTAATCTATATTTAAGGCTGAGAAACACTACTCCATTAAAGAAGTTCTTAATGCTAGCTGCCCACTGGAATCACCTGGAGTCTGGAGAGCTTCCAAAAATATTGCTGCACAGGCCCCACCCCGAGAGTCTGATGTAATTGGCCTGGGGTGCAGGGGGGAGATGAGGAGTTTTACAAGCTGCGCAGGCCTTTCTTTGAACAGCCCAGCTTCAAAACCACCAGTTAAAAGACCCTCTCAAGAATTACTTCGCCTACTTACCATGGAGTGGTAACATTTGAAGAGAACTTAGAGACTTTAAGAGGCTTTAAAAAATCAATTAAAGTCTAAAAAATCAGTTAAAAAAAGTACTCCCAACTTTCTGTTCGAGACTGTGGCAGGAAATTTCTTCTAAGCTGCAACCCTTCTCGAGCCCCTCATATACCACGTTCTTATTTCCTTACCCTGTCATTTTCAATAGAATCAAGGCTAGAGATTCCATGGATTTTGGCATTGTATCCTTGTTCTATGGCCTCTACTATGGCGTAATGGGGAGAGATTTTGCAGAGATCTGTTCGGATTACATGGCTTCTACTATAGGGGTAAGTGTTGCTTTCATTCTCTGAAACTACTTATGGAGCATGGAGAAATGGTCTCATCTTACACATTTGCATCCATTTTCGGAGACAGAGAAGTCTTTTTTTGGTTCTCCCAGACCAACTGCTCCCTAATTCTCCTTGCATCAAAAATTATCTTTGCTAGTTGATTAGAAAATATACTTCCTATTTATAGAAATTTGTTGGGAAATAAGGCTTTATTTATTTACTTACTTACTTACTTTCAAATAATCTCTAGCCCAATGTGGGGGCTCAAACTCACAACCCTGAGATCAAGAGTCGCATGCTCTACTGACAACCAGCCAGGTGCCCCCAGAGGCATCTTTTTAAATAAAATAATTATTTGGGGGGCACCTGTGTGGCTCGGTCGGTTAAGCAACTGACTCTTGATATGGGCTCAAGTCATGATCTCTAGATCATGAGATCAAGCCCCACATCCAGCTCTGCACTGAGCGTGGAACCTGCTTGGAATTCTCCCTCTCTCTCTGCCCCTCTCCCGCTCATGCACGCATGCTCTCTCTAAATAAATAAATAAATAGACATTAAAAAAATAATTATTATTTAGAAGTAACCATCTCTAGCATACTCCAATTGCCCACATTGAAAGATTACTAAAAATTAAATAACAACAAAAAATTTTATATTTTATATTTTATATTTTATACTAAATTTTATAATCTGTGCTTAACACAGAAAGTCCTATTTCATGCACATAAAGCACTTGAGAATCATCATTACTCCTCATAATGATCAGTTATCATTAGATAGCATTAGAAGAAGTCGGAGATACAAAAACTGTGCTAAATATATTCTGACTGTATATTGGTCTCTGGGACTTAGAAAGTATCCCTAATAGCTTTTTCTTAAACTCTCTTAAGATTGAAACTCCAAGTGGACATACTTGCTGGTTAGATGGATTTCATATTCAGATATTAGGAGCACTCATCTATGTCTGACACATGCGCATCTCGTAAAAACTCACAAACCAGGGGCTTTGGTATGACCTAGTGGTTTCAGGAATTCTATGTCTCTGTCCTCTGCTGGCCTCTTGGTACACAGCAGATATGAAATGGAAAAGCTACTGTGGATGGCAAGGGAGGAGTGCAATTCCAGACTGTTCTTCTCTCTCTCCATTTATGGGGCAGGACTAAGTAGACATGACCTTGACTTCATCCCTGTCCAGTCTGCCCTTCTCCATCTCCGTAGGCTCTATCTTACTCTTTTCCTATAGCCTGGAATCCGACTTCTGTGGTGAAATTCTGGAACAAGATACCTTTTGGAAGTCCCCTGCCATGTGTCATCTATGGGACAACTGCCTTTTTTATAATGTTTAAGGTGAGCAAAGGAGAGAGCATTTCCACTCCTAGTTCCTCCAGCAAAAGCCAGAAGTCATACTTCTTAAAAATTTCCCAAAGCCTCTTGTACTTATTTATGGACAGGAGAGGGAGAAAAGAGTTGTGTGTCCTCTGTTCTCCAGTGGACCAGGAAGAAGAGATTCAACTTCACAAGACAAGTTTTTAAGCGCCAACTTTCTGGAGACTTCTCACCTGATCCCACCCCACCAGGCTTCAACTTCTTGTCATCCTCTGTCAACTTAACTTCATCTACCAAATATATAAAACCCACTGCTTCAAGCCATTGGCACAGGCACGAGTAACTTGAACTGATGGAGTGTGTGTGTGTGTGTGTGTGTGTGTGTGTGTGTGTGACAGAGGTAAGGAGGAAGCAAAGGAGGAGCAATTTCCATTCTCACACCACTGCCTAAGCCCCACACCAGACTAATTAAGTCAGAATCTCTGGGAGTGGAGCCAGTGCATCTGCTTTGTTTTAAAAGCTCCTCAGGAAAAGGAATGAGCTATTAAGCCATGCAAAAACATGGATGAACTGTAAATACATGTTGCTAACTGAAAGAAGGCAGTCAGAAAAGGGTACATGTTATATAATTCCATTTATATGACATTTTGGAAAGGGCACAACTATGGAGATGGTAAACAGATCAGTGGTTGCCAGGGGTTTAGGGAGTGAGCAGGGATGAATAGATGAAGTACAGGGAATTTTTTAGGGCAGTGAAATTATTCTGTATGACACTGTAATCGTAAATACATGACACTATGCATTTGTCAAAATCAATAGTACTTTGTAGCAGAAGGAGTGAAACAATGTATACAAATCCGAAAAATCATTTAGGATGTGAGAGAATGCCAGGACAGAATGTAGACTGTGACAGAAGAATCTAACTGTATTACAAATGCATGAAATAACCACACTGAAGGGAGGAGAAGAAAGCACTGACCTAAGTAACTTTGAAATGAATAGAGATCTAAGATTAAAAGCAAAGGAACTGAACATAAGTACTGTACTCTAGTTTGTAAAGTGTTTTCCCTCGGGGCTATGGGTTCACAATTCTGATACTGCTATCCATGTATTCCGCAACTGAATAACTCAGTAAATGGATGATCCATAGTAGGAGCTATGTTTCTCACCCTCAGAAGGTTATTAACACTCAAGGAGAGAAGGCTAGAATGATCCATATAGTAAAGGATAAGAGTTAAAGACATCAGTCTGAGATCATGTCTAGCATAATATAGATTACATGTGTCTTAATATAGATGGATACATATAGGAACATCTATCGCTATGATATACACATAGGTTAGTATATACAGCTCTATTTCCTTCCTCTGTCAGCTAAGAAGCCCAGAAGCAATGACACCCCAGTCATAGCAGTGAGCACACCTAGTGCCCATATCTTTTCTAATGCCATTCTACAATAAAAGGAACCAAGGTTCCTTGGAGAAATGGTTGATTCTAGGTCTTGGCAGGGAATATACAAATGAGCCCGGAGTACCTTGTACTGCCAGAAGTTAAGGAAGTGCTCAAAACAAGCAAACAAACAAAAAACCCCACCACAATTATGAAGATAAGTCAAGGAGACACAGAAGCCACCTGAAAAAGCTGCCAATGGTAAACACTAGAACAATCTGTGCAACCAAATAGTAGTAATGGTAGTAGTAGTAGTCGTTGTAGTAGTAGTAACAGTAGTAGTAGTAATAGTAGTAGTCGTTGTCGTAGTAGTAACAGTAGTAGTAAAAGTAGCAGTAATAGTAGTAGTAGTAGTAGTAGTAATGGTAGTAGTAGTAGTAGCAATAGTAGCAGCAGCAGAGTTGGGTTATAACCCAAAGTATAAAATAAATATCATGAGGGGCGCCTGGGTGGCTCAGTCGGTTGAGCGTCCGACTTCGGCTCAGGTCATGATCTCACGGTCGGTGAGTTCAAGCCCCGCGACGGGCTCTGTGTGCTGACAGCTCAGAGCCTGGAGCCTGGTTCCGATTCTGTGTCTCCCTCTCTCTCTGACCCTCCCCTGTTCATGCTGTCTCTGACTCAAAAATGAATAAATGTTTAAAATAAATATCATGAGTCTATGTTGATATAAATGAATGAATAAATGAATGAATGGAGGAGAATAGACAGATCTCTCATGCAGAAGTCCACGTAATTTATGTAGATACTCCAACCTTAAGAAGGTTATTGGTTACGTTTTTGGGGGTCAGCTTGGGTAGGCTGTGGTGCTCGATTGTTTGATCAAACACCCATCTAGATACACATACATACACACCCTATCAGTTCCTTTTCTCTGGAGAAGACTCACTGATATTGAGGTAGAACTTAACTTCCCCCTCCTTATGAATGGGCTGTTCTTCGTGATTTCCTTCCAAAGAGTACAAAATAGAAAGGAATAAAAAAAAAAAAA